TCCCTTTAGATACAGTTTCGCTTATGTCAGAGAAGGCTGATTAACTGAAGGATTTGGTCCAATGGCGGTTTGATGCCTTGATTCGACGAAGGGTTAGTCTCCACAATTATCAGTACCTAGATCTCCATGGCCAGGGTGGGCTCTTTACAGCAAAGAGTGTAAGATAACTGACTGGCTCAAGCGTGCTCAGATCCAGAGCAGAGACGTCGGCATTGGGCTCAACTTCAGATAAAGAAATGCGCTCTGACCACTCCACAGTCTCAGAGCAGACACCGCTCCTGAGGGAACAGCCTCAACCCCCAGACATTGGCACCCATGAACATGATGACAGCGCAGTCGACCCAGGGAAGGAGCCCAGGTCCAAGGAACTAATTCTAATTCTTGGATGTATATGGTTAGGTGTCTTCCTGGCTGCATTAGGTACTTGCACCCTCGCCTGGCTCGGTGACAGGCTGTGTTTGAGTCCACAACTAACCGCGACAGATACCACAATCGTTGCAACTCTCAGTGCGCCCATTTCGTCATCGTTCAATTCCTTCTCTCTACTTTCTTGGCTAGCTACCTCATACCTGATCTCCAATGCTGCCTTTCAACCGCTGAGCGGTCGATTGACCGACATCTACTCGCGACGCGCTGGGCTAATTTTTTCGAACGTGTTCTTCGCTACCGGGAACTTGATATGTGGTTTGGCCAAGAGCGAAGGTACCATTGTACTAGGCCGTGTTGTGGCAGGAATTGGAGGCGGTGGTTTGACGGCTATCTCGACATTTGTCACATCGGATCTGGTTCCTCTTCGCACACGAGGCGTCTGGCAAGGCATTGGTAACATCTGTTATGGAGCGGGAAGTGGACTCGGCGGTGTTTTCGGAGGATGGATCAACGACACTCTAGGATGGAGATGGGCTTTCTTGATCCAGGTGCCCTTCGTTATCGTATCGTGCGTCCTTGTTGCCGTGATGGTGAAGATACCCGTCAAGGAAACCGACACGACCAAGTTGAAGCGGGTGGACTTCTTGGGAGCTATCACCCTGGTCATTACACTTGTCTTATTGCTACTCGGACTCAATACTGGAGGTAATCAGGTGCCATGGACTCATCCGTTGATCCTCACGACATTGCCGCTTTCCGCCGTTTTTCTCTTCATCTTTATTCATATCGAGGCAAACATTGCGTCCGAACCAGTCATCCCTGTGCGTCTGCTCCTCGACCGGACCGTATCCTCGGCCTGTCTTACCAACTGGTTCAGTACCATGGCGCTCTTCGGACTCCTCTTCTACCTCCCCTTATACTTTCAGGTTGAGGGCCTATCGGCCACTGCCGCTGGCGTCAGGCTGATACCCCACGCGCTTGGGACATCCTTTGGCTCTCTTGCTTCGGGATTTCTCATGCGTGCTACCGGACGGTACAAGATATTTAGCAACCTTTCCATGATTCTTCTCGTCGCTGCAGGTGCCCTGATCTGCACTCTGAACCTGGCAACACCTGCTTGGATCCCCTTCGTCTACTTCTTCTGCCTCGGCACGGCCTACGGCAGCATGCTCACCATCACCCTTGTGGCACTTATTTCTGCTGTAGACCATGAACACCATGCTGTCATTACGTCCGCATCCTATGCATTCCGCAGCACAGGCAGTACGATCGGTATCACCATTGCATCTGCAGTTTTCCAAAATATCCTGAAGTCAGGGCTGTGGTCGCGCTTCGGTGATCGCGAGCATGCCCGAGAGATCATCTCACGCATCAGGAACAGTTTGGACGCGATCCATACGCTTCCCGAGGGTTGGAAGGCAGGAGTTCTAGACGCATATATGGATTCTTTACGGGCGGTTTTCCTGACATTACTTGGACTCAGCGTCTTGGGGGCCTTGGTCAGCATGGCCATGCGGGAGCACAAGTTGCACAACAATCTGGCCCGAAGTGACGGTGAATAGTTATGCTATCTGTATTCTACATAGACAGGTACATATATATTTAAGTAGGCGCTAGATAAGCTGCCTAATGTCTTTTAACGCAGCTTAGTTCTGCTACTGGCACACCGTAATTATGTTGTGGTTTATATCAACCAATCAGAGCCCCGAGATTCCACATGATCTCTGTCCCCGCCGATAGCCGTACAGTAAGGTTAGGTACTAAAGGGCGGCCCATGAGTTTGCGAGGGTTTACGATTGTTTGTCCTGCCCCCGAGATTCCGTATTGTACCAGAATATCTTTCCTTAGCCCACCGCGCTCCAGGTATTTCGAGTGGTACACACCCTCGACACAGCAACTCCCTTTCGACCGGTTGCGGTAGCGGTGGCGTCACAGACAGAGCATCACTGATAGTGCAAGACGACGTGGCGAGACCGAGTAGCGAAACGGGGGACAAGGTGACCCATAACAAGTTTCAACAGCAAATTGGCCTGGAACCGAGAGCTCTATCCTGGGAACCGTCGAGTCAACTTTCGATCCACTTTTTTGCGTTGTTCTTGACCGCTTTCTTGGTTCATATGACCTACTCGCTCATACAACGATTTAGTCTATTAGCTCACTCGTCTCTTGACACGTTCGAGCCGTTATTGTCAAGCTGCATTAAAGCGCAGCCATTGGGCGTTGCCGCCATATTTACATGGATTCAATATCATTGCTTGTGGAAAGAGAGCTCTTTGGGCTGCAATTGAAGTAACCTGATTTCATTGGGCTCTGGTGTCGATACTTCCTTGATACCTTTCGGCCTCCTTGTCGCTTTTACTAGCAGATTCTCCCTCCTCTGCTCGTCTTCGCGGCGTAGAGGTGCACGGAGAAAGCTCGGTTCATTGAATTACCCTCTTTGAACCCTTCTTTGTCGCCCGGATAATCTCTCTGGACTTTTCGAATTGCACTCCGGACCACAGAACTTTGCTCCGTATCAGTTATCGTCGCCACAACCTTTCTCTAGCCGATTTCAACCGGGGTTGGCCATATTCCTGGCATGGCAGTGGGGTTACGGCCGGATAGTCCTACAAAATCTGGTGTTTTAGCAGGTGTTACTTCAAAAAGCCTTCTGCCGACTGAAATGGAGATTGATGGGGACACTGAGGAGATATCAACTCGGCAATCGGCATTTATCAACACCAGTTCGAACGAAGTCGTGGAAGATGTCGCAATTTCATCCCACCGCCGCCGAAGGCGCATATTACTGTCGACGGAAAGCGTCTTTGTCGATAACATACTACCCTCACTTCTCCAGAACCCCGATATCGAACTACGGCTGATCACGGACGAGCCTTCGGCCCTCTTAGCAGGCGCAAACAAGATTCCTCACTACATGGATACTGTCGATAGTCAAACATTTGAGAAGAAAACCGGTGCCCGAAGGTGGCTTAAAGCCAAGGCAGCAGAGCTCAGTGAATGGGCTGATATGCTCCTTGTTGCCCCCATCGATGCTGGAGCACTGGGGTCGATGCTATTTGGCCTCACCAACACATTGACGCTGGCGCTTCTTCGTGGCTGGATTTCCACCAAGCCTGTCATCCTTATACCCGGAATGACTGTTTCGGAGTGGGAACATCCTCTTAGCAGTAGACAGCTGGCGGAAGTCGACCGATATTGGCCTTGGATCAACATTGTCAAGCCAGTCCTCTGGCGATCGAATGGTCCCGAGGAACTCGTTCAATTACATTGGGATGGTCTAGGAGAGTTACACGATACTATGGAGAGGACCCTAGGGCTGTCTTTCGCTAAGTCCTCGACAATTTCTGGACAGGCTCTCGACAGCACACAACAAGTAGTTCCGTCAGCGACCAGACAGTCCGCGAGTGCAATTTCAGCGGCACAGCATCTTCGGAAAGGCGCGCGATCACTACCTCTCGAGTTATGGCTAAACATATTCGAAGAACAGTTGCAAGATTGGGAAATTGCGAAAGCAGTTGGCATTCCTACAAACCTTCCTGTGCCTAAGGAATGGCAGTCTCACCTACTCAAGATGTCTACTCCGGCATCTCTGGAATACACGATTCTACGAGGGTCCTTTGCTGCTATCAAAAAGCGTATAGACAGCCTACCACGGTGGAAACCGCTGTCAGACTTAGCCTGTCACCTCATCTTCAAGTTCTCGCGAACCGATGTACTGTCATACTTGACAGAGAACCATCTTGATCTGCTATGGACTACATCTCGCCTAACAAAACTGCCGTACCGCGCGTCGGCGATATACGGGAACCCCAAGATCTTGACGTGGTGGCAGGAAGCACCTGCGCTGCCGAACAAGGATTACAGTGCCGATGCGATGGATGGAGCCTCTCGCGCCGGCTTCGTCGAGGTGCTCGAATGGTGGCGAACATCGGGACTCGAGTTACGGTATACGGAGAGAGCACTCGAGTCTGCCAGTGCCGAGGGTCGGGTAGCGGTGCTTGAATGGTGGAAGAATGCCTCTGCAAACGCTCCATCATCGAATCCTATTCCGCTTAAAGTAGGAAAATCCGTTTTACTCGCTGCACAGTCTGGTCGAGTGGAGTCGCTAGCTTGGTGGGATGCTTCGGGCATTCCGTATAGTCACGCAGAGTCCGTTGCCCGCATTGCCAGCACCCACGGCCATGTCCATGTCCTAGACTTCTGGTACGGGCTAAAGGGACCCAAGATGATCTTCGACAGTCAGGTGTTGGTTGGGCCGACCAAGAACGGACATGACAACGTTCTAGAATGGTGGCGCCGCAGTGGTCTGCGAGTGGAATTCAAAACATGCGACATTGAAGAAGCTCTCGAGGATGCGGACCCTGTCTCCGGCGCGGAGGGACGCGTCCGCCGGTGGTGGGCTCGCAACGGGCTCAACCTGGGCGTTGGAACAAGCGAATGGATGAAAACTAAAGTGCTCTGAATTCTGCCCATTCGTTCATCATCTGTCTCTGATTCTGCTGCTTCCTATATTCATGACCCAATCATTCGAGAAATATACCCAACCTGTTTTGCTGTAGTTACGGCGTTCTGTACCCACACATACATAGCCTCATGAGAAATGAACTAATGATGTCAATGGATCTTCACACTCACTCAACCTCCCATCGAACAATATGCTTGATCTCCGAGGAGTCCGTAAACTCCCTGATCTTCGAAAATTCCTGGAACCCTTCTGACTGGGCAAAGTCGAGATGCTGCTGCACGTTTGTCCACCCACTAAACAGCACAAACTCCTCCTTCCCTTCTTCCTTCTCAATCCTCCACCCCTTGAAGATAGGTAACGGCTTCGTAAACTCCTCCAGATGATGCTGCGCCTCCTCGAAAACCCGGCTAAACCCCTCTCTCTTCTCAGCGCTCATGAAATACCGCCCCACAGCAACAACAGGTGCTTCGGTCAGTAACTCCCCCTGTCGCACCGCATCACCATCCACATGGAGCACCCACACCAGCTCCATCTCACTCGAGAGCTGTCTCATGATTTCCTGATTTGTAGCCGAGGGAATCCAATCCTCGTAGTGCTGTTGCGCCGAGTCCCATCCTCCGATGAGGTAGATGAGCGAGGGATCCTCGACTTGGGAGAAGAGATGAACCGGGTACGAGGAGAATTTGGCTTGCGCTTTGATGCCTTCGAAGAGGAGTGCTTTGAATGATGCGGAGGGAGGCTGAGATTTTAAGCGCAGGAGCGCGATTTCCGTGACTGGGGGCGTCATTTATTCTCTTCGGATACGTTGTGGTAGTTGGAGGGATTACTGATCAGAGCCAGGAGTCAGATGTAAGATGTGCCGGGATTCGCTGTGCCTTTTTATATCATTGAGTCATGGCAGGAATGGATACTCAAAACATTGACAGCCATTTTCCCGATTGGGAGATGCTGACGTCGAAATGGTGCCTAAATTGTTAGGGTGGAGGCGTTCGACCTTTCGCGTAGCGTAAGACCGAACGAACTACATGAGCTTTGATTTGGGTTCAGTTTGAGCAGATGAGATGTCATTCTTGCGACTGCATCCTCCGGTTCAGCTGCTCGATACTGAGAATCGATGATAGAAGCAATATTTCCTTTGCGCTTTGCCAACGCCCCGAGAAAGTATACATAAGAGCAGACTTGCAAAGACCGCCTCCATTTCTAGAAATTGATTCCTTTGAGCCCATACAATAGTTAAGAGCGTGCTGCTGACTATAAGTAACTCGGGTATAATCCGCCTGAGCGATTTCTAAACCGTGGATCCTAATTCTCCTCCCTTCTTTTTCCTTCCTTTCATAAACATCGAAATAGTAAGCATGGAGAATCATCAGAGACATAAAAGTATAGCGAGGACATGGCGTTACGAGTAAGATAGAGAAGACGAGACGGGGTGTTCAAACTTCCCTCCTATACAGGAATTAGCCGGAACTATGCGTACCAGGATGACCGTAAAAGATACATACCATGTAGGCTCAGTCTTCTCCAGACCAGGGGTGCGGATAGCGTTTCTGTCGCCAAACGGGTTGTTCTCGTCGTCGTCGTCCTCATCCGTCTCCGACTCACTGGCACTGACGTACTTTTGCTGCGAGGAAGACGGTACGGATATGCTCAAAGGTCGAGGAGGCCGAGGAGGTTTGGGAGGGTTAACGACCAGCCCGGCAAAAGATTCATTGAGATCGTCTCGGTCAGGACTCCAGCCACTTTCAAGCACATCCTGGTCACTGTCGCTGTCATAGTCTATACTCTTATCCAGGACTTCGAACGCCATAAGAGCAGTAACCAGTTCCTCATTGGCGTGGATGAGACTTCCCAGATATTCTTCGCTCTCGACATGCTGAATGTACCGGAGAATTTGCCGTCTAAGGAGCTTGCAGGTCTCAAACCGGTTGAGACATTCCGCATCTTCGCTGACCCGGTGCGTTTCTCGATTCACCCGTTTCAGCGCATTCATAAGGTTGGTACTGGCGACCGAGGAAGAGGCGAGGGTCTGTAGCATCTCCGGCTTCTCTTTCTCCAAACTGAACGACCTATTATGTATTTTCTTATCCTTTTCTTTCTTGTCTCTCTTGAAAGAAGATTTGCTCGATGTATGTTTGTGCTTGGGACTGCTTAAGACAGTGCTTGGGCCGTTTCCTACGGAAATAGAGACCGTATGGCCCAGTTGTGGCTCAGTGGTAGTCGAATTACCAGTATCCCGGAGAACTTTCGCCTTGGCCTGGGTGGCGGGCTGTTTGCGCTTTGGAAGCTGCCGGTAAAGCGCTGTCACCCCTCCCATCCCTGGTGTGTCCTTGTAGGATACTGCCCATTGCCCAAAAAGTTGCTTGCACTTCTGTTTGACCAAGGGGTCAGATACTGGATCGGTAGCTGCGATTCGTAGACGCTCCAAGAGTGGTTCATCTGCGAACTCTCGCAAGAATCGATCCCCAGCATTCTGTATCAAAAAGTCAAGAATAGTAAGAGCTCTCAGCTGGCGATGCAGATTGCCATATTTACTGGAGAAACATTAGATAAGTAGAACTGAGATGGAAGGGATAGATAGTTGGACTGACAGTTTCTTACGCAACGCACGACTTGCTTCAGTCGGTCCGCTGCTCTGAATGCGAATCGCTTCGATGAGGTCGACAATTCCACTCGAATCTTCAATCTCGTATTGCTCACTGGTGAGCACTTCAATCTGAACGGTCACAGCCGAGTATGGTTTCTGCGCGAAGTATCGTCAGTTCTGCACGGCTTTCCATATGATCAATTACAAAGAACTTGATATGCAAGTCCCCCGGACAGATTCTGACGACTTAGGTATGAAGAATCAAGAATTCTGCGACAACTCCTATATCAATGATCAATGCTCACTTACTGCTGAGTGGAACATGGCGTTGTCATTCAAAGGTCTTATTGGGCAAATAAGTACCAAAGCAGTCAAAGCGCAATGATTTCCGAAGGCGAACTCAGTGTAACTCCTCTTTTGACAAGCTCGGCCCTCGTGAGACCCAGAGATCGGTAGTCGAGGAATTAGAGCTCGTTTCCTGCAACGTCGTGTATAGCTCGTAAATCAGGGTCTCGGCACGATTATGAAGTTAGGCACAGCAATAACCAGACGGTGACGTGTTAAGGCCTGTTAGTCCGACCGAGGCCGTCGTGTGCCCTGGCGGCAGTGCTAAAAGCCTAACACACGAGCACGGCCGACTTCTAAGAAAAACGAGGCTGGTTCGCGCAACACCCCGAATGCTAGGCCTTTCGCGCCACTGATGAACAGTGCGGCAGAGATTTGAAAGGGTGGCGTATATGACTATCTACGATTAGTAGACATCATCGCTGTCGTCCAACTGCGTAGCGATACCCCTACTCCTCCTTCCCCGATTATGGGCCAATCTCGTGATTGCCCCTCTCCTGCACCCCCAAAGGAGTTTAGGGCGGGGAGAGAGGTGGGAATTGGATGCCTGGATGCCTGAGGTTTTCTGAATGTAGGTCCGATTACGCTGATGAAAACAGTCAGGAGTAAATAATTCTATATGGATGATGACTATCACTGCAGGGGATTGATGACTGAGGGCGATCCGGAATAGGGAGTATTACCAAAGCACTGACAATTGCTGCTGAGCAGCATCTTACGTATGCCTTCTTCACCTTCCCAATGGGTCCTCGGTCTATAAATGCGGCCGATCGCTCCTCTGTTCGCCAGTCGTCCTTCTCAATCTTCTCCCGTCTTATCCTCTGCTCCACACTTCTGCTCGGAGTCAGTATCGTCTTTAAAACCCGCCCGCGCATATTTACCTCCCTCCCCGCCTTGCCTTCTTCACCCCATTATACCCAAACTGCCAACATGTCCTACCAACAAGAGCGCTACATTGCCGAACTGGCTGTTCAGCGAGCAACACTTCTGACACAGAAAGTTTTCCACGAGAAGGCCAAGGGCACGGTTTCGAAAGACGACAAATCGCCCGTCACCATTGGCGACTTCGGCGCTCAAGCTCTAATCATCCAAGCCCTCCGCAAGAACTTCCCCAACGATGAGATCGTCGCCGAAGAGGAGGCTAGCTCCCTTCGGGAGGACAAGGCGTTGAGCGCAGAGATCTGGAGACTGGTCAAGGACATCAGATTGGAAGACAATGAGAGCAATGAGCTCCTGGGTGGTCTCTTGCCAAGCGAAGATGCGATGCTGGACACCATCGACCAAGGCAAGAGCGCAGGTGGTCCCAAGGGTCGTATCTGGGCCCTGGATCCCATCGATGGCACAAAGGGATTTCTCCGGGGCGGCCAGTATGCTGTCTGTCTGGGTTTGATTGAGGACGGAGACGTGAAGGTCGGTGCTATTGGTTGCCCCAACTTGCCCGTGGACGATTCGGTTGCCATGACCGCCAGTATCGGCGTTGACCAGACTGATGGCGCCGGCATGGGAGTACTTTTCTCGGCCATCAAGGGCCAGGGAGCCATTAGCCGACCCCTATCGAATGGTGCTCTTGCCGAGAGTAAGGCAATCTCGATGCGTCCCGTTCCCGATATCAAACAAGCCGTTTTCTGTGAAGGAGTGGAAGCTGCCCACTCCGCTCAAGGCGACAACGCTGCCGTCGCTCAGCTTCTTGGCATCACCTCCCCCAGCGTGCGACTTGACTCGCAGGCCAAGTACTGCTCAATTGCTAGAGGCGCAGGTGATATCTACCTACGGCTACCTGTCAAAAAGGACTACCAAGAGAAGATCTGGGATCATGCTGCTGGCGATCTCATTGTCCGCGAGGCTGGTGGACAAGTGACCGACATCTACGGCCAGCGGTTGGATTTCAGCAAGGGCCGGACTTTGGCTGCTAACAAGGGAGTCGTCGCTGCTCCCAAGGCCATCCAGAACCGGGTCATTAGTGCTGTCAAGACGGTCCTGAAGCTATAAAAGATGATGCGAACGCTAACAGCAATTGAATCGAATCACAAAGCCCGTTCTAAATCTTTGTTAGACCCTGCACGCTTGATGCGCCTAAAAGTACATGGGATAGATACCAATTGGGAAAACAGGGGAGACTCTGCTTAAATATACATGTACAGAAACAGCCCAGACCCTGTTCCAAGAAAATGCCAACGTAAAATACAAACCACCCCAGTTCACCGAATCTTCTTGGCCTTCAGTCTGATTGTTTCACCATTCACAAAAATACCCTTGCCCTTGTAAGGCTCTGGCTTGCGCCATTCTCTGATCTCCGCCGCGAATTGTGTCACAACACTCTTGTCCACGCCCTCAAGCAGAATACGAGTAGGCTGCGGTGTGCTGGCCTTGACTCCCTCCGGGACACCAAGCTCAATAGGATGAGAATATCCAACCTTGAGAGAGACGAATTGTTGGCCTGGGTATTCAGGTTCCACCGTGGTCGCTGTGGACTCGATGCTCGCTCTGTAACCGACACCGACCAGACTCAAAATGCAAATATGCCCTTCTGATACTCCAAGTACGTAGTTCTGCAGATGGGCCCGCATAGTTCCTATAAGCCGCAAAAGTCAGGCGTCGTCCGTCGTATGAGAAACTTAAGAGTCGTTTACATACCCCACATGGCACGTTGATGGGCAATCGAGGGGTCTTGAACAGTCAAACTGGCCTTCCGGAGTGCTTCATCGTGTGCGACCTCAACAAAGGGAGGGATGTTCAAGGTCAATTCACCTATAGGCAAACCGCATGTCAGATTCCGCTTCCGAGTCACTCAAGGATGAACACCGTCGCTTACCCAGAGGACCCTTGACCTCAATTGCAGTCTTAGGAATCTCTTTTGACCGGCCTCGTACCTGAGTTTGAGGCAGGTCGACAAACTTTAAAGAAACCTCTGGTGGTATCGAGATCGGAGCACCGCCTACTCGCGATTGTGTCGGGGAAGTGGTTGAAAAGCATTGTGTCCGCAGCAGGTGGGAGTATGCAGGTGCCAGGAAGATAGGTAGACTGGCCTGCCGGAGAGGATTCCGTGTAAGCTGCCTTAAGCAGCTCTGGGTTAGAAAATTCGACATGGCGACGATAATTGTGTTTCGACTGTTCGAGATAGCGGTTGAAAGTCCGGATCTCAACTGATTTTGTCCGAAGGCATATTCTCCAAATTGGGTTAGTCTCTCCTCACGTGACTCCATAACCATCCTCATAGATCGAGTCAAAACATCCCAAGGACTCTGTATGTTGTTTATAATTGATTTTCTGCATATTGACAGAGCTCGCTGGCGACATGCTTGGTCGATTCATGTAGCGTATCTTTGTGTTTGCGCTTGATAGTGTAATGTCTGTCTCTTTCACTTTGCTCCTTTCGCTGTTGTTTCGTTCAGCTTCATCTCAGACTACTTCACCCCCAGCTTCAGTCTTATGGGAGACTTAACCTGTTCATCTTTGTATTCTGCTGTCTGCTCTTGACTATCAATTACAACATTCCTCCGTTGCTCGCATCTTTCTAGTGTCTAATATCAGTATCATTGCCACCGAGGGTCTCCATCGGTTCTTCTCTACTCACGGCTTTGTCCTGCGGTAAAGACTCTATTCTCGAGCCAGATGTCAAGAACTCATTTACCTACGTTCTTGCTTGCCAGCATGCTGCTCTTTCTCCTGCTGATATCAAGTCCTGCCCTCGCTGGGAAGCTGATGACCGGTATGTTCTCGGACAAGTAATTACTAATCAATGCATCATTAATAATGAAGTTAGGGATGTCAGTACCTGCTCATAACGCATCTGCAGAGATTGATCTGGTATCGTTCCTACAGTCGAAAACGGAGCAGCATGATGCTATCTTTACGGAAGCGGTGCAACTACTTGAATCTATGAAGTCGTCACCTTCTTGCAACCGGATTGCAGCTTCAAGGCTCGTCGCATCTTGTCAATCGATAGGGGGGAAGACGGATCATACAGAACCAAGTACATATCTAGCATTGGAGCATGTTCGCTCTCTGTACGCGGCGCGACTTGCAGTATGTGAACTCGACGGAGCAGGGGCATCAATTCCTCCTCCATGCCTTCCAGTTACTCTTGAAACCCCGCGGAAGAAAGGATTCTTTGGTTTTTCCTCCAGTCATAAATCCACGACCACCACTGCCGACTCTATGCCAACTGAGATTCTAGAATCATGCTTACGGTCACTGGAATCCCGACCACAGTGGTGGACATCGTATAGTAATAGTAGACAGAATGCCGTGGTAATATGTCAAGCAACGCGGCTTGAGACCGAGAAGGAGGAGCTTCTTGAGCTTCATCGCTCAATAGTCGAAAGCTCCATCAAGCTTAGCCATGGGCTCCAGGAGGCGCTTCAGATGGCAGCTGCAGAAACTTCCCAGCGTCAAGCCTTCATGGAGGCGACAGCAGCTTTGCAGGCGAAGCTGACACGAGACCTGGAAGCAACTGAGACTGGCTTCAGAGCTCTGCTGGGCAACTTAATGGAAGGCATCGAGTCTGCCGTCGATTCGGTAGTTACGACTGCAACCTCAGCCCTTACAAGGGTACATGAAGATGCAACAAGCCTCGAGAAGGTAAGCGCCTAGCGATCTTATACCAATACGACTGACATTGTCCAGGACATTCGAAATGCTACCGATGAAGTCAACTACCTGCGACAAATGCTGCAAGCTGTTTATGATGAAGCTCTAACCAGAGAAGCGCAAACTGTGCATGCTCATGAGCAGAATGTCGAGAAACAGAATGAACTTGCGCTCTCACTTCAGTCCAGGCTCGACTCCCTTGTGCAGGGTGATGTGGCTCGGCTCTCTCAGAATGTCGAGACTTTTGACGCGTCGCTAGTAAGTGAACCTTTGCCGAGTGTGACGGTCTGACAAGGCTTACAACACCAGTCATGGCTCTCAGAGAGGCTAGGACTCATTCTACAACAAGAGCTGAGCTTGTCCGAGGTTTGTGGCTTGCCCTTCAAATG